GGCTGGAGCATTTGGATGGATATTTTGGCATAATGATACCCCTAGCATCCCTTTGTTGAATAAGGAGATGCGGGTAACGAAATGAAGGCGCAGAGAATTAACAAAAATGATAACAATCCAATAACTATATGCACTTGTGATTACGAATGTAAATGTTCTGTAGCGGTGTGACACGAGAGATATCCTGCCACTCGCTGTTACGACTACATCGCGCTTCCCTTACCGGCGTTGCTTTTTTTCTCGTAACGAGACCGAATTGTTATGCATACATTTTTTCTTATTGAAGTGGTTCTTTTTTTTCCTACAGAAAAAGAGATCAGAAAACGGGATTGCCCCGTTTTTCTCCCATCATGTGCCGACATCGGCAAGGAGGACACTTGTAACCATGCATAACTCTATTTAGTTTTTTTTGCATTCGTATCGGTGTGTTCCACTGCCCAGCTCGGTTGGTAATCGTCGTGTAATGCCACTCTATCCACCATCCGGTATGTGGTCACCTGAGTCATATGATCTAGCATGTATACGCATGGAGGAAGCCTCTATGTAAACGCTCAAAAGGGGGAGATAGAGAAAAGTATAAAATCCCAGAAAAGAGATGCTGTCTAAGCAAAAAATAGAAGACCAAATGTTCATGACGCCAATACTACTACTCTGCATTAAACTCTCTAACTTCATCACCCCGATTAATGAGCATGCTTCATCTACTCATCGACCTCATCCCGCCACGCCTTCCATTCATCCCAAGCAAGACTAACCTTCTTCCCTTGATACCGCACAACCTTGATCTTGACAGCCCTCCACTCGCTCTTGCGGCCACCCCACCCGGCCTTGCGCATCAGGCTGACAATCGTTTCTTCCTTGCTCCACCCTTGCTCGCGCGCAACATCAGGCAAGTACGTGCTGCCGTAGCGGCGGCCTCTGTCTGTGAAACTGATGCGCAGACCGTGGACGCCGACCTCCCAGTCCATGGGTTCGTCGACGGGCTCAAAGTTCGTGAGAAGCGTGACTGCACACTCGAGAGATGGGAGTTCCTGCTTGGTGATGGGTGGGAAGCGCGTGTCATCAAAGGCAGATGTGAGGGCGTATGAGGAGAGGCCTGTGGAGAGGGGGAGGGGCTCAAAAGTGCCGATGCAGCCGCGAAGTCGCCTTTCGTGGCTTCCTGGCGAGATGGTATTCCAGGTGACGAATAAGGGGTGTTCTTCTTCCTCATCCTCGTCGTAGTCTGAGTCCTGCTCTTGTCTCGTCGTCTTATCATCCAGGTTGGTTGTGCTACTGTTTTGGCTTGTCATGCTGCTATTTGTTTCACTGCTACTAGCTCCGCTAGGCGTAGAACTCGCACTTGGCAGACTCGAAGAGCTGCTTGATGAAGATGGCGAGGCGAGGATGCGTGATATAGCAGCAGGCTTCAACGATGCGCCTGCTGCTTCAACAGATCGATCTTCCATCCCAGCGTTGAATTTTCTCCACATAACTTCGGTTTGGGCCAGGCTCAGGGCGGGCCGCTTCTCGAGGCTCGCAACCAGGCTTTCAAAGCAGTATGCGCAGTGGGCTTGGGTCGCCATGGTGTAGGCTGTTTGAAAGGCGTGACGTAAGAGTGGGCGTAGGAAGAAGAGGTAGGCGATTTGTAAGAGAATAATAGCAAAAGTGAGAGAATGAACAGGCTGCGACTTTATTTGCGACAGAAAGAAGCAAGGTATGATGGTGAGATCCCAAGGTACGAGGCGGGTGCTAGCTAATCGGGCTGCGAGAGGGCTGTGCAACCAGACCGGGAACCGGAACGGACTCGGCTGACTTACCTCTGTTGTGAGACGTGCAAGAGCGGGAGGAGCGTATCGTCGTTGGTATACAATCTTGACGCTCTTGCGTCGACTCTAGAGGGTCAGTAGGGACGGCGGGATGGCGGGATGGGAGGGCATGAGAAGAAGAGTAGATGTTGAGGTCACTCGGCTGCCCCACCTGTTCGGCAATACACGCGCATTACCTCAACAAGCAGTGCCAAAGGGTCAGAAAGTAAATCATGTTTCATATTAATATTGAATCTTCGTACGCTTCCTCTTGGTACCGTCTTTGCTCGTAAAAGCTCTTCTGAACGAAAAATAATGTAACCCCATCTTCATGCACACGTGCCCTACAGGTCAAAGGCAGTGTGTTTGGTAATGATGGGGTAAGTTGTTCTTGCCACGATAATTTTCCTTCAGCAGGTCGAGCATTGAAGAGCTCTGTTGCTGTACACACTAATGGCTGGGTTGAGGTTTGCACCTCGGTCACTCATCTCACTTACCTGGCTTTATGCTGTCCAAGGGTCGGCCAATGTAACACATCACATGGATAGGCGCGCGCTGGGAGAACCGAGCTGACTTTTCGACTTATTCATTGTTCATGCCTGCGGTAGGCGTGAAGCCACATGCTTCCATCCCTTGAGTTCGAAGCTGTCAAAGAAAGTCCGAATGCCATTGACGCCGACCAGATGTCTCATAAAGGAATCGAAAACCGCCATCGTCGCTCGCTCGTAATCGTGTCGGCCTTTATGCGCTCTCGCGCTTGCCCTCCTTAACCTCCTTCTGTGCAGGTGTTAGCAGGCCGAAGCTGACCTCGTGCAGTACATTGTTGCTACGCACCAGAGCGCGCATGGTGCCGTGAAGCGCATGCCTGTGGTTCCTCCTGAACTTGGGGTCGGTTCCCTTGAGCGAAGGGTAACGGTGGGTCTTAGGCTTCTTGATACTGTAATGCAATCAATCAGTCGTTGCTCTCAGATTCATGCATTGACAAGTTTTCGATCCAACGAGATGGATGAGCCATCTGGGGGGATTATGGCGCGCGTGCAACCGTGGTAAGGGATGCGTACCCGTTTCGGTGGTTCTTCTTGGACTGGTTGTGCTGAGACGAGTTCTTGGATTCTGCACAGCTGTGTTAGTCTTGTCGTACGCTCCATCGCGAGGCTTCGTTAACGTACTGGCCATGGCGACGGTTGTGGATGTCGATTTGGCTGTGTGGTATTGTCGAAGAGCTGAGGTTCTGAGCCACGAATTTCCACTGTGGTGTTTAGCGAGTAGAAAACCGCGCTAGCAACTCTTAGCGCGGCTCCCAGCATCGACCGCCTTCAGATCACGATACCACCACCAACCCAATGTGGCTATTTCAGACAGAAGTAATCGTTGAGATAAAGGGAATGAGTTTTTTTCTTTTCACGAGATTTTGGTTTTCATATGTGCTTGCCGCTGAAATCTAACTAGTATTCGCACCTAAATGGCCACTACTCCAAATCTGCTTCTGCGCACCAAGGTAGGACCCATTTCGCTGAGTTGATCTGGCTGCTAGTGACGCTCCGAATAAGCCTGTACCCTCACCCTCTACCTTGAGCTCCCTCAGATGACTGTACAATTTGTTGCAGGCTTGTCAGTGTACTTGTACTTGTAATGACTTTTGTGCCTGCTCCTCTTGCGCCTGCCATCCACATAATACCCATGGTCGTAGTGTCTCGGTCTGTTCGGAATGATCGACGGTCCATATGGCCCTGTAAGCCTATGATCGCGTGTGAAGCCTTGTCTCATGTTGTTTGGATGAGTCGCACTGCCAGCTGTTGCAGCGCAACTAATCGCAGCGCTTCCTGGTCCACTTAAAGCCAATTGAACATTACCCCATTGACCCGGAATTGCATGATTGCCTCTGACATGGTTTCGAAGTAACTGATTACAACCCCAAGGGCCCTGGATCATTTCGATCGTTTCTTGGTCTGCAAAACCGCCATTGCACGTTGGACATGTGTACGGTGGTGCAATCAGAGTCTGGTAAGTCTGGCGATAGGGACAGTTGAGGAAGTCAGAGAGAAAACCACAGGGCTGACTCATAGAAAGCCAGGAGTGACCACATGTCGGCGAGTCATAGAGGGTACAGCCACACATCCTAGATATCTCCAAGTTCGATGTCTGAAAAAGACTTTGGTGATACTAGGTGGAGTTTGTATGCGTAAATATTTCTGTGGGATCAGGCAAGACGCTGTACGGATATACAAACTCCAGCAGTCATTGACGTAGGCAATGAACTGGGCCTCGAGACAGTGATATCGCTGGCGCCCTTGGATAGCAGTCAAGGAGTAATGGCAGGAACGGGCGCAGAGGTTTCGGATACTGTAATGGTATTGCTGATATATAATGCATCTCCCTAGATGCGAGAAAACGGAGCATGATTGCGTGCTGTTTACGTCCCCGTTTTGAGGCGTGAAGTTTCTAGCGCTTGTCTTGGAACGATCGATGCGTGGCATAATTCAATCTTTCGCAATCAGTGGTCCGTTGGAGGCTTCTTGTCAAGCATTTCCACCACTCTTGCGTCTTCGGCATCAGCGTCTTCCTTTGCCTGGTTCTTAATCTGCTGCATCAGTTCATACAGCTGACCGATTTGTTGGTCTAAGATTCAGTTAGGAGAGCCTCATGCAGAGAGTGCTAGTACGTGCCGCTCATTTTATCAATCTTCGCTTTGTCCATCTTTGCGTCTTTCCATGAATCTCCTTCAAGCATCTGACAATATGTTTGCCACTCCGACAAAAAGCCGATCTGTGAATGTTAGCTTACTGGCATTGTGGTGCGCCTTTTGTGAAGATGGCTTAACTCACAATTTGTACGGGGTTCTCAACGTCCCTGTGAGCTCTGAACTCGGCCTTCACATACATGTCACCCAACAGGCGTTCCTCTGGGCCTAGCCTCTTTCGATGTGACCTTAGCAGGCGCCGGTAGAGTGGTATTGGCGGCAACAAAGCCGCAGGTGCCGGCTTGAAGGGTCTCGATGCACCTGCATCTGTTGCAGTCGCTAACAATCGTATACCAGCTCTCATTTTTCCAAAACTCGTACAAGAATAATATCTAGGAAGTTGTGGTAAAGGAAATGGGATGCATTGAAGTAGTGATGACCTCAGCCTCGGCTTTCTAGACTAGAGTGCTCCAGATCTCCTTCCATTCCAATTGGCCCACACGCCACACCTCCGATCCGGAAACAAAATCACAACCATGCTGCCCACGCCCTCGACATCGCACGTTTGTTTCGATCGCGTCTACGAACCGGCTGAAGACTCATACTTGCTGCTCGATACAATTTCATCCGCATCAGAAACCACATATCTGAAGGATCGATTTGGTGATGCATCCTCAACCCCGCCGCTGGTACTCGAAGGTATTGTCATAACAACAGTACTCAGCATTACCCTGTCGCTAAGTCTGTGCTCGAAGTGGGCGTAGGATCAGGAGTTGTACTAGCATTTGTTGCTGCGAATGCGCAAACTATTTTTGGTCGACATGATGCACTGACGCTTGGAGTTGATATCAACAGCTTCGCTTGCAACGCTGCTGCACACACTGTTCAAAATGCAATTCAAGAAAGAGAAAAGGAACGCTCGGTTTTTATGGATATTGTGAATGGCGATTTGGCAAATGCGATTCGTCCAGGTACTGTCGATGTTTTCATCTTCAACCCGCCATACGTACCAGCTGAGCTGCCTGACCTGTCGAGTCACGAGAAGTACAATGTGATCCCAGAGGGGAAGAAAGCTACCTCATTCGAGCAAGATTCGTATCTTTTGGAGCTATCCTACGCCGGAGGTGAAGATGGCATGGTGGTAACAAACAGGATGCTCGAGCAGATTCCGAATATACTGAGTGTGGATAGAGGAGTTGCCTACCTACTGCTGTGTGCACAAAACAAGCCCGAAGTAGTCAAGCAGCGGATAAGAGAATGGGGCGCAGGATGGATGGCAGAGACTGTAGGATCGAGCGGCAAGAAAGCAGGCTGGGAGAAGTTGGTGGTTGTGAGGATATGGCGCGAAGCGCGCTAAACACCAAACATTGGTCAGATATCAAACGATCAGCAGAGGAGTTTTCAGTGGTGTCTTCACGTATTGGCGGAGAAGTCAACTTCCACGGCAAGATCTGCATTGCTGCCAACCTTCTGGAGCTTTTGCTCTACAGCGAGCCTCATGCCGTACAATAATTGTTCTGCATTGGGCTACCAATTTGGAATGCGGGCCAGATGTCGCATCAACTAGTTACACAACTCATCGCTGCAAGAGTGGTTTCCCGGGTCTACATTCTGCCCCCCCTCTTTTTCTTTCGTGGATACCCGAGGGTTCGGTGGTATAATTTATCTTGGCTAGGGTTGAAAGAGACCCCGGGCTGAAGAACGTTGATGATACAGAACGTGGTGCCACACTGCGGATCAGGAGTTCTGTAGCGATGAACAGGAGAGAACGTATGAGTGGTAACTCCAGTACTCATGCATGCTCTTCTTGTCAAGGCTAATGCCGTTTGTTCAACAAGATTGTGTCTTGAAAATCTCATGTGTTATCGATCAATGGTTCTTTGAGGACGGTTGGATATACCAAATCCTTGAAATAATTCACACGAGCCATTTTCTCGTATCATATCTCATATTGTACACATTCTTATACATATGCTGTGCCCAGCGTCCACCACTCTTCATATCCTACATTCCGGTATATGCTACCAGAACTTGATGTTCTTCTGGTACCAATATCCCCAGCTTCTTCTCCTTTCTTCTTCTGCCCTTTGCTCCCTCTCCAACCGGTCTTGTTCCTCTCGTGCCCTCCGCCTGGCTTCCTTCTTAGCCTCGATACTCGCGCGCTTCTTCTCCATGAGTTCTTGTGCTTGTTTTATTCCGGCCTTTTCTTTAGAACGATAGTATTGGCATACTTGGTAGGAAACGACAGAAACACCACACCAAGTTGCCACGGCCCAGTTCGAAGCTGTGATGACGGGTTCTGTTCTGACGTTAGCATTATGTCACACCTAGCCTTCACCAACTGCCAGCCTGAGCAGTCTTGACATACTGCCTATTATAGCTGCTAAGCTTCCTCCTGCAAATCCAGCTGTTAATCCTTGCAATTGACTGTCTCGTACACACGGTCGCTTGTGAAAGTTGAAGTAATATTCTGGCCCTAGACTTCGTACTGCGTCGATGTATGTAGGTCCGGTATCCGATGTCTTTTCACCTCCTGCTGTATGCGCTGTACCGCCGGGCATAACATTTGCAGGCGCGCGGGGCTTTGGTGGAAGCGCATTTAGGTCAACCGTCGACCTCGAATCTTCAGACATGGTGGGGCGAGAAACAGGCTGTTGATACGATGCGGGCGAGTGGAATTGGGCGTTTATAGGTAAGTGTTTCGACTCGAGGTACGGTGCAGATTTTGCAGTTGCTATAGGCGCATTCGGTGCGGGAAGAAGATGTTGGTCGCTCACTTTCTGGTGGTGCGGAATAGGGCCGAAAATATCCAGCATCCATGATTCCACGATATGTGCACGGCCACACTTTGTGGCTGAAAATCAATTTGCTAGGAAGGGGATAGCGCACAACACGCTCCAACGCGTCGCGCTTGACATTTGCAGATCCACATCCGCCCTTCAACACTCCCAAGTCTTTGCGCACCACACGCTCCCTACCAATTGCCGACTCTCCGTCTCTTCTGTCTTTCCGCCATACCTATGATACCCTGTTTTGCATAACTCTCATAATTAGCATTTAATACTCTTTTACCTTGCACCCTCACCGCACAATATGGCGCCCCGACGCGCAGGCCAGCCCTTTCGCCGGGTAGGCAAGAATGGAAACGCATCCTACGGCCCACGCAAGCCCAAGACGGTTGATGCCTCGACATTAAGAAGCGGAGAGGCTACTTCACAGAACGAAAAGCTGGAATCTACACGCCTAGCACACCGCATCGATGAGACTATGGGCTTCGCACGTTTCGATTCGGGGAAGAAGAAAGTGGGATGGCTCGTCAACATGCACTCGACAACAGTCGAAGACGAAGATGTACCGGGTGGAAGAGCTGGTGTTGACTTCTACTTCATTGGCGAGGAAGGAGACACATTCAAAGCGACCCTCGAATACGACCCATACTTCTTGCTGGCGGTCAAGAAGGGGAGGGAACAGGACGTAGAGGAATATTGTAAAAGGGCATACGAGGGCCTGGTCAAGACTGTGAAGATCATAGAGAAAGAAGACTTGAGCATGCCAAACCATCTTACTGGTTACCGAAGAAAATTTCTAATGCTTACCTTCGCGAATGTCAACGATCTTCTTGCTGTGCGGAAAGGCGTTGCTCCGATAGTAGAGAAGAACAAAAAGAACGTCAACGCCATGGATACCTACGCCGAGGTGGCTAAGTAAGTGTGGCTCGCTCTTCATGTGACACATCGCTAACACCACCAAGTGGCAATGCCAACTTTGATTTTTTCGATAATGAAGATTACGAATACGAGAAACGACTTACGACCACTGTTGATGCAAGCGATTTTATTGTAGATATTCGGGAATACGATGTTCCCTACCACGTACGAGTAGCCATCGACAAGGACGTTCGAATTGGAAACTGGTACACAGTCGAGGCGAAGCATGGTGTAGTGAGCATAAAGTGTATAGAGGATCGCCTGACACCTGCGGATCCTGTGGTAATGGCCTACGATATCGAAACGACGAAGCTCCCATTGAAGTTTCCCGACGCAGCCATTGACCAGATCATGATGATATCGTACATGATTGACGGCCAAGGATTTCTGATTACGAACCGTGAGATTGTCTCAGAAGACATCCAGGATTTCGAATATACGCCGAAACCGGAATACCACGGACCGTTCATGATTTTCAACGAACCAGATGAAAAGGCCCTACTGGAACGATTCTTCGAACATATCAAAATAGCCAAACCTACAGTCATGGTCACATACAACGGAGACTTTTTCGATTGGCCTTTTGTGGAGGCAAGAGCCAGCGTCCAAGGTATCGACATGTACCAAGAAATCGGGTTTAGGAAGAACAGCGAGGACATTTATCAGTCGGATTACTGCGCACATATGGACGCCTTTGCTTGGGTCAGTCGAGACAGTTATCTTCCACAAGGTAGTCGTGGTTTGAAAGCCGTCACAATGGCCAAATTGGGATACGATCCAGATGAGCTCGACCCCGAACTCATGACGCCTTACGCATCCGAGCGACCTCAGACTCTTGCTGAGTATTCCGTTTCCGATGCCGTCGCAACCTACTATCTGTACATGAAGTATGTTCACCCCTTCATTTTTGCGTTGTGCAAAATCTTGCCCCTTGGACCGGACGATGCGCTACGTAAGGGTACGGGTACTCTTTGTGAGATGCTGTTGATGGTGCAAGCGTACCAGAAGGGCATTGTATTACCAAACAAACATCAAGCGCCAAAAGAAGCATTCTGGAATGGCCATCTGCTTGAGTCGGAGACTTACGTCGGAGGTCACGTCGAAGCTCTGGAAGCTGGCGTGTTTCGAAGCGACATCGCGTACAACTTTGCAGTCGATCCTACCGCTATCGATGAATTAGTCGGTGATCTTGATGCTGCGCTCAAGTTCAGTATTGAGGTGGAAGAGAAGAAAAAGATGGAGGACGTTACCAATTACGATGAGGTCAGGGCTGAGATTGTCGACAAGCTGATGCATCTCAAGAACACACCAAATCGTAGCGAGCGACCTCTTATCTACCACTTGGATGTTGCGTCTATGTATCCGAACATCATGACAACTAACAGGTTGCAACCTGACTCTATGATTAACGAGTCCAACTGCGCGGCTTGCGACTTTAACCGTCCCGGAAAGACATGCGATCGTCGGATGCCATGGGCCTGGAGAGGTGAATATCTCCCAGCTAAACGCGATGAGTACAACATGGTTCGCAACGCACTGGAGAACGAGCAATTCCCCGGAAGGTTTCCCAACTCGCCAAAGCGGTCGTTTCAAGAGCTCTCAGAAGACGAGCAGGCCGCTCTAGTCAGAAAACGCTTGACGGATTACTCTAAGAAGATCTACCACAAGGTTCACGATGCGACAACAATTGAGCGCGAGGCTATCATCTGTCAGCGTGAAAACCCATTCTATGTTGATACTGTTAGTGGTTTCCGTGACCGACGATATGACTTCAAGGGCAAACAAAAAGTTTGGAAAGGCAAGACAGAAGCGTTGAAGGCGGCGGGTGCCCCGGCAGCCGAGATTGAAGACGCGAAGAAGATGATTGTCTTGTTCGATTCCATGCAGTTGGCCCACAAAGTTATTCTGAACTCCTTCTATGGATATGTCATGCGAAAGGGATCACGCTGGTACTCTCTGGAGATGGCTGGCGTTACCTGTTTGACTGGTGCTCGCATCATTCAGTTGGCGCGTTCCCTTGTGGAGCGCATCGGTCGACCCCTGGAATTGGATACCGATGGTATTTGGGCCATCCTACCAGCGACTTTCCCAGAAAACTTCTCTTTCAAGCTCAGCAACGGCAAGAAGCTAACCATCTCTTATCCATGTACCATGTTGAACCATCTAGTACACGCTCAGTACACTAACCACCAGTACGAGACGTTGGTAGACCCTGTGAATTTCCGATATGAGAAGCACAGCGACAACTCCATCTTCTTCGAGGTTGACGGTCCCTACAAGGCCATGATCTTGCCCACCTCGAAAGAAGAGGACAAGAACTTGAAGAAGCGTTATGCTGTGTTCAACCATGACGGCAGTTTAGCAGAGTTGAAAGGTTTCGAAGTGAAGCGTCGTGGTGAGCTGAAGCTTATCAAGAACTTCCAAGCCCAGATTTTCAAGTTTTTCTTGGAAGGTACCACTCTTGAAGAGACCTACGGTGCTGTTGCCAAGGTAGCGAACAGGTGGCTCGATATTCTGGATACACGCGGAGCAACTTTGGCTGACGAGGAGCTGATTGATCTTATTGTCGAGAACAAAAGCATGACAAAGACACTGGAGGAGTACGGATCGCAAAAGTCAACCGCCATCACAACCGCCAAGCGTCTGGCCG